TGTAAAGTGTTTTTACTCAGGCTGGCGTTTTAGGATGGGACCGAGCCTATCTTGTTCAGAATTTTTTGCTGATTCCGAATCCGTTTTCCAAATTTGCTGCGGACTTCGCGTTGAAAAGTCATTTTTGGTCTAAATTAAGCTTAAAAACGGCATAAATTCGGATGCTGGCCCACTATTCCCTGTCTGGGTCAGGTATTGTTGTGCCCCCCTTATCTACCCTCCCGAACCCCTATTCCCAGTTGGCACCATGGTGCATTGGTAAGCTGTTCGCTTGCCGGGCAAGGGGGGGGCGGTTCGATCCCCGCCCTGCATAATTTCTTTTGCTTTTTGCACAAAAACACATGATTTTAGCATGAAATCATGCTTTGACCTCTAAAACCATTACCGAGCCAGTTTTAACGTCGGAGGTGACGATAACTTAAAAAATAATGCAAAAAATCCAGATTTAGTCAATTTTTTAGCCTAGATCTCGAATAACTTTTTAAATAAAGGTCGGCAGCAAATTTGGAAACCAGATTCTGAATCAGCGAAAAATTCTGCACAAGATAGGCTTGGTCCCATTCTAAAACGCCAGCCTGAGTAAAAACACTTTACAGTAAGCCTATGCCCAAGTTTTCCCAACGCCTAAGTCCTAGCCTAAGCAAAAGCCTATGGTAAGCCCAAGCCCAAGCCTAAGCCTAGGCTTAAGCATATGCCCAGTTTAAGCCTGAGCTTTCCCCCGTAATGCTCAGCCCCTATAAAAATTAACAACTCCAAAATTCAAAAACCATTTTCCCCCGATCGATCACCACAACCCCGGCAGTTATTTTTGCCGATTTGATAGAATAGAATGGTTGGTGGGGGGGATGGATGGATGGAAAACAGGTCTTACCCCCGGCTCTCAATTTCTCACATTCTCCTCATTTCCACCGATCACTAGCTCTTTCTCATTTTCCGGGTTGATTGATGAGAGCGAGGCGTTGGGTGGCGCCAAGAACCTTCCATACAGTCTCTCATCATCATCAGCATTCTCTACCCCAAGCCAACATTCAGTTTTATCTATTTTTGATTGGATTTTTTGTAATAATGTTCGTTGTCTTCTGGCATGTGAGGAATTAATTTAGGTTTTTATATTTCATTGTTAAAAATTGGTGAAATGGCGGGTGCTAGAAATACCTTTTCAAGTTAAAGTCTAGAATGTCTCGAGATAAATTGTGTATTTTTAAAGGAACTAGATTTTTTAAGCTATAACTTCAATATCGGAATAAGAGGTTAATTAGACGGCAAAGATTACATTATCGATTTTATATGTATCAAATCTCTATTAGAAGCCATTAAAGGGGCTCCGAACTGCCAAATCAATGCCCTTTTCGGAGGGCTCTTTGATTTCTGGCAAATTGCCAGCGGGCGCTGCGGGACGAGAGCCCTCACTCTTTGGATTTTTGCGCGAAGTTGTTTTTGGCCGGTTTCTTAGTGATCACACCAGAATTCGCGCATTCTGAACCCATTTTTGAAATCCTCATTCATTTTTTAAATAGTTTTGGTGTTTTAATCATCAAATTTGGCCCAGAAACAGCCGAGAACGTGATTTCGAGGTGAAAACAGGCAATTTCAAATTTTGCGAGCTTCCCGCCCCCTGGGCGTACAGAGGCCTCCGACGTACAGGGCTCGGATTTTCGGGCCGTCACTCAATTTTTGGCATTTCGTAGCCCCTTTAATACGTAAAGCCAATCTAAGACCTATAAGACCACCCATACCACTTGAACCCAACTAGAGAATATGATCAGAACAGTTGGGCGATCAAAATGCATGTGACAGCTCCCAGTATTCTCAAGGCCATTTCTGTCTCATCCTCCCCATCCTCATTCTCTTTCCGTTTTCGGTCGTTTTCACGGAAAAAAGACGGATCCCGAGTATCACGGGATATCTCCCCCGGGTGATACCGGAGGGCTCCTCATTCTTTCACTTCCACCTCGACTTTTCACCGATTTTCCGGGGGGTTAGGTATACGGTAGTCGCGAGGTTCTATATTTACAATAGAGAATTTTTACAATTTATTCTTAATTCTATAATTTTTGTTTACAATCTACTTTTTTTATTAAACCCACACTTACAGATCCCCTTCTACCACTAAACGATGCTCTTCGCGGTCCCACCAGTTGCCACGGCATTCCCGGATGAACCGACAATGAGCAGAATTGTTTCCGACTCGGTCACTTCAGGTGTACAAAGATGAAAAGTTGATATGCCCCGGTGTTCAGACTCGATGACTTCCCTCTCCTCCGACGAATCGCAGATTATCGTCTTGGCATGTCTCTTCGTGGTTATTGCCCTGCTTTGCGTGTTCGTCTTCTGCCTCGACCTCATCTTGTGTCAACGATGTCGGCAACGCAAGGGTAAGAAATAGTGAAAATGCAACCTGAAATTCCGCCAAAAGTATATCGAGATTTTTCTTAGCACAATTAAATTTTAAATCTTTAAAAAATAAGATTTGTGTCGAATTCTACTTGAACAATAATACACGCCATTATAAAACATCTAAACTTTAGATGCCGAAATCAAAGATGAGGAAAAGGCTCAAAAGAAAGAAGAATGCCAAGTGGCCACCATCTACCACGGCAACCCAATTTTTGTCATCTAAATATGGGGGACTTCACTTCCCCTCCATCCATCCCACTCTAAAACATGTACAAAACGAATGGTCGAGCGACTCGTTCGACCGTGATCCTCATCCCCTCCCCCTCCCTACTCCTATTGTGATCTTCTTTCCCTTTTTTGACCGTCTCCCCTCAGAGACTGTACAGAACCGAATATTCCATGCATATTTCTAGTGGTGTCCAGTGGAGAATTGAAAACACCCATGACTACTGTGCTCATTCGCACTTTCCAAATAATTCCATGCCTATCCAAACTCTTCAAGGTTTCTAGGACCCGAGATTGAAAGTATATAAACTTTCAGTTCCGGGTTTTTGCGGTTTTCAAGAGTTTGGCGAATTCATTTTTGCAGCATAAAAACTGTATTCGCCGAATTCCAATGATTTCCGCCAATATTCCTCCGGCAACCGGTTTTCGATGTAAACCTTGCGACTCGAAAAACCATATTCCAACGCCACCCCAGAATAATGGTGTTCCCTGGCATACGTTGTCAGGTGCCATTTTGGTTTTAAATCTATTTAATTTCATGTCCGGTTTTATATAGGATATTGTAATTTGTGTCCGGTCGATAAATACCAATAAAGTATTGTTGAAAACGTGCAGGCTGAAGCTTTGAGACAATCAATTCATCTAACTGTAACCGTTTTTTGTTGACCGTGGGATTTCGATACGTGAGATAGCACATTTTGTGCAGAATTTTTCGCTGATTCCGAATCCGTTTTCAAAAGTTGCGGAACCCCTCTAGATAAAAAGTTACAGCCAGTTTTCTACCCCAAATGGCCGAAAATTACAAACTTTAAATCCTTATAAAAAACTCATGGAACATTTTGTGGGATAAAATACAGCACTCCGAGGGGTAAAAAAACGTGCTCTTTCGAATGAGCTATTTCACGAACCCGTAACTCAAAATTCACAAAATTTCAAAATTTTCCACCCCACCGTCCATCCACATCACCGTCCATGACAACTTTTGAAATTTTTTCATGAATTTTGAGCTACGGGTTCGTGAGATAGCCCATTCGAAAGAGCACGTTTTTTTACCCCTAGGAGTGCTGTATTTTATCCCACAAAATATTCCATGAGTTTTTTATAAGGATTTAAAGTTTGTAATTTTCGGCCATTTGGGGTAGAAAACTGGCTGTAACTTTTTATCTAGAGGGGTTCCGCAACTTTTGAAACCGGATTCGGAATCAGCGAAAAATTCTGCACAAAATGTGCTATCTCACGTATCGAAATCCCACGGTCAACAAAAAACGGTTACAGTAAGAGACAGAAAAATTCTCGGTTTTTTGTAGATTGTTTGATTACCTGTTCAAACCAAATTTTTCAATTTTCTAAATTTTTATTAAATATAATTAAGGACTTAGATAAATTTTGTAAATATATAAATAAATTAAAATTGTTAAAAATGCAAAATTTCGGCGCTAATAAAAAGGCATTTTTAGAATTTACGTGAACTTGTTTAAACTACATTTTCCAGCAGATTTGATCAGTTTTGGGATTTCCAGGTAAAAACATGATTCCATATTTAGCATGATTTATTTTCAAAAAATCACCCGCTTTATAATCCCCTTTATAAGATTCCACCCTGCACCGCCTTTTCCTGATCCGAAATGGCCATATTTATCGAGGATCGATACTTGACAGTTCGGTCTCTCTCTCCTCCCTCTCGATCCTTTTGAATAGAAATGAAGGACAATGTGATTGTTTGTCTCTTGGCTATCCCACAGATATGTATTTGTCTGTCTGTCTATCCGTCTGTCTGTCCATGACAGTAATTGTTGTGTCTGTCTCTGTGTCCCCATCTTTTCCACAACCTCCTCCGCCATTCTATCCACAAATTACCCGGGCTCGCGCCTACTTTCCCTCAACTTTTCCATCACTTTTCGAAACTTTCCGGAAAAGCTAGCGCTAAGCTTAAAATCTTGATTTAAAAAGTTGATTTTAATTAATTTTGAGATTGTTATCTTGAAATTGAAGATCAGAAAATATAAATTTTATAGAAATTTTTTTCCGATCTATCCAAATTACTCCCCCCACGTTTTTCACTACTTTCCAAAATTTCACCGATTTTCCAAAGTTTAAGCTTTGAAACCTGGTTTAAATTAATCTTCGAAATTTCATGCAATACTTTTTCTATCGAAACTAGGCACTTCCGTTTTAGTTGTTCCAGCCTATTTTTGTATACATAAACTCTCGCGCCCCTTTTCCCCATATATAAATATTTGAAACTGCATTGTTTTTTTCGGGCGACCATCCCCGACCCTTCAAATGTAAACAAACACTTTTGATTTTCACCTGCAATTTTCCGATGCATTTCCCCCAAAAACACCCGAAACATCCCGCAAAATTACTGTATTTCAGAAATGTGGACGATATTGTTGTTTGTGGCTACGGTATCTGCTGGACGTGGGTTTAGCTTATTTTTGTAGAAATTCTACAATATTTAAAATTTAAGTAAATATTCAATTGCCCGGCCATTGTTCATTGCCATTGGATCGTGGAAGGGAGTGTGGCGGAAATTCTACAATAAGGGTACGAAAATAAATTTTAGATTTATGAAATGTGATTTTTGCAATCATCTAGAGAGTGGTTTTACTTTTTATTATTGTAGAAACCGAACAGTATACTGTATTTAAATTTAACACAGCTCTGTTTTGATTCGCACATGTTTGGACTGCGAATTATCATCTAATCCGCGGATGAACGCGTAGCCGTCGCCGAGCGATAATAAATATCGAAGATTATGGCTAATCCCCCTCTTTAAAAGCACTCTCTTTTTTAGTATTACATGGATAAAGATCGACTCCAATGCTTCCCATTCCGTTATAATGGATGCGGGGGCAATGGCAATAATTTTGAGAGTGAATCCGCTTGCTTTAACTGTTTGCCAGGTAAGGAAAGGCCTTATAAAATACCCACGTAAAGAGTCTTGTGAATTATAACACTTTCGCTAAAAATTGAGCTTGAGCTTCAACTTTTTAGCCGATCTCAACTTCTGCCCGGGAAATACCGACCCAGTCAAAGATGCCAAAGGCGAATCGTACTGTAATCATCAGAAAAAGTGTGCAGAGGTAGGAAATGGAAAAATCGGATTTTTTAAATTTTCAGGGTGCCAAATGCCGAATGGGTTTTGCCGTTGGCCTTTGTTGCAGCAATGATTCGATTAGTAAAGATAGAGTGACTTGCGCAAAAAAAAATAAATTTAGAAAGAGAAAATGCCGACAACGAGCCGGCTTGCCCAAAAGGAAAGGAAGCTTATAAAGTCTGTTTTCGTCGTTTTTTAAAACTTTTTTTAAGGCACAACGCTTTGGTTTTGATTCCCTCTTCACCGGGCTCAAATGTGAGCACGACTTTTGCCCGAGAGGTAGCTAAAATTTTTATTTTCTTACACACCCCTCAGGCTCAAGCTGCCATCAGGGCGAATTCATCTCCTATTGCTGTAAATAGAAGGCAATCTTGCTCCAAATATCATATAAACTTTATGATAACGTACAGGGGGGAAAACACACAGACACGTGAAAGATAGACCCGAATATAAAGGTGGAGGAGATCAATCACAATCGGAAATAGAGGCAAATTTTTTAGAAGTTTTCAAGTCCCTTAAACTGCTTAAAAATCAATGGTGCGACTGTCTTTCTGCTGTAGAACGCTGCGCTTTGAAATTCCGGACGCGTAAGAGGCACTGAAAATGACGGGATTTTATTATTATTTTGGAGCTTCGAAAGCCCCGTGACCCTTGAACTAGACGTTTTCAAGGATCCCAGCCGGGCACAACGGACAAGTTCAAAAAGCCAAACACCAAACGTGTCGCAACAAATCAAAAATGACATGTTAGCGTATCGGGGGTTTTTAATTGCTCTACTTGCCCTAGTATTTTCCTTCCGGATCCGGTTTGTCCTGTTTATGGCTAAAAAGTTGGCGGAAAATTTTGATTTTATTTCAATTTTTGGCTTACCTTGACGCTGGGATCCTGCGCCTTTTCTTAGGGGTATCGTAGATGATGCAAACGAGGTAGAGGGCATTTAATGAGAACTAAAACTCGTATTTTTAATTTGGTAATACCTACCTGTGCGAAATACATAATTTGCGTGACGAATTCAATCAAAGCTTGGGTTTTCGGGTCGAGTCGTAACATTTCTTCTTCCGTTAGTGTACACCTACAAAATACCTTTTTTAAGAATTTTTGCTCAATTTTCTTAAAAAATACACATAATGAAACTTACAAATACAGTCTATACAAATAACTCGGCAAATTCATTCCCAAATCGAACACCGTAATCACTAGACACCGCCGCAGCACCTTCAGTTGTTGAGCCCTTCGTTTTGCTCTAAAATTAAGAAAATTTAGCTGTTAGTTTCTATATTTCACTGGTGAGCTCACGCGCTACACGTCAATACCAAAAAACGGGCAATTAGTGTTAAGACCGGGTGAGCGCGAACACTAACAAAAAATAAATTTGCTTTCTCCCGGACGGCTATTACGTCACGAATATTGTACACCATTGGAACGCACGAAGCTAATAAAAAACTGGATAATATACGGTCCCAAATTTTGTTATATAAACAGGCTTTTATAATTTTACGAAACATGCACCTATTAAGATTTGACGATGTCCGAGGTTTAAAAGAAGCATGTCCTACTGTCACGTTCCCTTTAAAATCCTCGAATTTCCCGTAAAATACAAAAGTTATTACAATATTGGCACCGCTAGTAATAATTATAAGTAAAAAAATGTCGAGGGTTATAGGCCACGGCCAAGCTAACAACCTGGGTGGTACCTCATCTTTTTTAACGTTTTTTCGTCAAGAACACTGGTCGCTGACGTCAGAATGCGACCCGATTGGAGTAGCATGGCACTCACCACCATGTGCCCCTGTCTATTCAAAATTCATACTTTGTAAGACAGTTTTAGATCTTGTGGTACTTTAATACTGTATATACCTTAATCATGAACACTAAAAATAGGTTTACAGCTTGTATACCAGTACAGAAACCGTTTTTCCCAATCCCCTTAAATCCAAAATCCCAAAACCTACTTTGCTTCCTGCTCTGCGAGATCCCCATTTGAAATTAACGCAAACTGTTTATCCGCCTGATTGGTCCCGATCCCAGACCACCAAACCGTACGGCAAAATAAAACCTAAATAAATTATCATATCCAGCTTTAATGACTTAATAGTACCTTTAAATCGAGTATTGTAATAATCCCGGCCGGCAGAAAATACGAGATGATAATCTCGACAATCTGCAACTTTTGCCCGGTAGCTTCATCCGAATTTGATTCGCATCTAAATATATCTATGCGGAACTTGATCCCAAGCCAAGGTTTATTTTTTTTGGGTGCTCTTATTGATACATGCCCCCGATCCGCATGTGCTTTTCCTTCCCAAAAGGACGGCTGGATGTGCTCGCTAATCAAATTTGGGCCACACATTTTTTGTGGACAATCTCAGGCCTAGGAGAGAAGAGAGAGAGAGAGAGAGAGAGAGAGAGAGAGAGAGATAGCCCGGAGGGTACTTTCCAGAGATGGCCAACCTTCAATCCGGACAAAGACCAACGAACTCCGGGCCTTGGGGTGAACAAAAAAGGAATTTAACAAGCGGAAGTGTGGACTTCGGGCTGGGCAAAAACAAGATCGCGTAAAATGGAAACTTTTAGATGTTGTAATTGAACTGGAGAATTTGAAAATTACGCTTTCACTTCTGGGAAGTAGGTGATGTCGTAGAGAAGCCACGATTCCGCCAAGCAACAGAAGGCGGCGATTCCGATCTGAAATTTATATGTTTCTTTTGCTTTCCGGTGCCATTAAGCTTCCACAGCGTTCTGGGTTATATATTATAGATATCCCACAGTAATGTTGATTGATAGTTAAATGTCCTAAATTTAAGTTACCGCCCCGTTTTCCGGATCCTTTTCCAAGGCTTGACCTATTTTTCTCAATCCCTACATAGCGTTTTAAACCTCCACAACCAAACTCCACCCTACCCAAAAGCAGCGTTCAACGACCAAGTCCACCCCCCGAAGGCACAATATTTTTCAGAGTGTGCGAGTCGCCGTTAAAAAGGATAAAAAGCGGCGGCGGGCGGGACTTTGGATTGTGCTGCGGCAAGAGGAGGCAGGTGGACAGCGCAGAATGGATAACGAAGTTTTGAAGCCATCGTCGACAATATGCTTTGAGATGCCAAGCACCACAGGGATTTGGGGGTAATGCGGAAGTGTGATAAATATGGAAATCGGCTTCTTTTAGCGTTGTATAAATGAAATTAAAGTCTGCAATTTTGCAAGGGCAGCAATAAGCTCGCTAGCATAATCCCTTTAAGATGTCTTTCCAAGCTCAAACTAAGTAGAAAAAGCTATTCACTATTGTTAGACTGCAAGTTAGTGTAAATTACGGCTTGACAACCTATTGCCCCTTTTTGTTTATTATTTCATTTTAAGAACGCCAAATTCATGTTTTCATAAATTTAAATTTTCAAAAAACACCTCACCCAAAGTCAGTCCATCTAATCCACATCCCGAATAAATTCCCTCCCCCCTCACATGTTGCCAATTTCCCCGCACCCCAGGTATACCCAATCCCCGTTTAACACGTCCAACTCATCCTCCTCCCTCCTCCCCCCCCACCATGACTTCCGTTTTGAGCAATTTTATGCGTCTTCCCCCTCCCCCAAAACCACGGCCCGCCGAATAATAAGCAGAAGAAGACGCGGCGTTAACCACTGGCTAAGATGTGTGGTGGTGAACGTCAAAAATTATATATCAGCCATAGAACGCCCCCGGCTTGCTTGCTATCCCTGCGAACTCAAGTTTTCTCCAGATAATTTGGGGTTAGGTTGACATTTTATATATTAGATCCAATTTGCAATAATACTAGGTTGAAAAGGTTCCTTGTTGTGCATTCAACTTGGTGGACCCGGTAATAAGGTATCGACCGCCTGGATGGTACTGTAACGGCAGTTCTAACATCTTTAAAAACTCAAAAATTGGTAGCAAGTAGAATGAGCTTATTTAAAGCCACTTACCACTGCCAAATGGGGCTCCTTATGCATCTTCAAATGCGTGTACGGTCTGTATATCGCAACGTAGCGTACTGCAGACAAAACCAGCCAACACCAAATGGAAAATGCGGATGCGGCATGGATGATGAATACGTCCAGCTGAAAAAGATATAAGGTTGCAGTAAAATTGTAAAAAACCATTTTGATGACAATTTTAAAACTGACCTTGCAAGCAATTGTGAAGAACATATCGCTTTGCACACCCCAGTAGCGGAGGCTGAGTAAAAAGAAGAGTGCGACCAAGCAGATCGTATCTGCAGCTGCCATTGTACATAGTAGTGACAAGGAAATGTGGGTGGTTGATGATTGACGCTTTCTAAAAAATGGGTTTGTAGTTTGCTTCGCTCTCTCTCTCTCTCTCTCTCTCTCTCTCTCTCTCTTTCCTCTCACGAATTGACTAATTATGCGACTGCGTCAAAGTGCCGTGCATCGATACCCCGGAAGCAATTTGGGGGACAAACATTTTTGCAAAAAATGTATGCAGTGGCTACGTGGAAAAACTAGCTAGAATCAAAAACCTACGATCTGGATGATTTGCGCTTCCAAAACACGGAGATGTTGAGGATGATGCCAAGGACGCAAATAGTCACGAATATCACCCAATTCACGCTTATCGGCATCGACGACGCCGTGTCTGAAAATTAAAACCGATGATGAAAATAATAAACTGGACGGTAATATTCTAAAATTTGGAATGCTTGGAAATTGGTTAGGATGGCTTCAACCCCCTATAGCTCGTTTAAGTCAAATGTGAATAGTTATTGCTATTTCGATTTCCATTACTATTCTCCCAAAAAAAGGCTTGTCCTTTTGACGTCGAAGCAGCTGGAACGCGTCTGTAATATTCGGTTTCCGGGAAGAGGAACGTATAAAATGGGACTGCCATAAATGTACAACATCATTACTGTCAAAATTGTCCGCACTTGTCCGCACCGCCCAAAAAAAACCCAAATTGTCAAAATTCACTTAATTGACAAACTGAAAGCCGAGTCTGAATTTAGGGTCTACAAAAAAACTGCAGAATTTTCAGGTACCCGGTAGGTTCTCAAAATTTCTCCTTCGAAAAATACGCGCTGTAAATCGGGCTAAAAAAATCAGGAAGGCAGACGGTGCGTGGGGGGGAGGAACTGGGGATACACAAAATAAAATAAGCGGATTGGCGGAGCAGGAGATACCGTAGGGAGATTGGTGTTTAGTCTTGAAATTAGGTACATGTATCGCCCTTTCGGGATTGTAAAAGCTATGTAGTTGGAGTTGGATGCAAATGGGCATTTCAGAGTAGGATACAGTGGTCATCAAAAGCTCAATTAAAGCCTTATTTGAAAATCTAGAATCCACCTTCCTAATCCCTTTAAAATCAAGCTGACAGTGAGGAGCTCCAGAATTCCTGCTCAAAACAACCCCTCAACCCTCCAGTGAAGCCGTAACGGCCCAGATTTATGAAGTTCCTAGTCTCTGGTCTAACAGGGTAGGCGGGGAGAAGCCGGAAAAAATGGACGTTGAGGGGTCGTTGAGAGAAGATGAGTGAGGTAAGAAGGAAGGGGGGACACACATAGCCAAGAAGAATCTCAGATGAGGCCATGGGAATGAACGACCGGGTAAGGAAGGGCCACCAACATCGGGCATGGGGCCCACCCATTTCTTGGGTTAGGCACGAGGGAAGGAACCCGTTTGCAAGTAAATGGGACGGGGAGAGGGATAATGCGAAGAAAATGCGAAAAAATGAATTGCAACGTGTTAATTAAAATCTTCTAAACCTTCACCACTTCCGGTTGTCTTATTTGGCTAACCTTTAAAGTACACTTTCCAAATCAAGGTCTATAAAAAGACGCGCCACACCCTCGATGGCTCTCTACGGCTTCAAACCCACCGAGCGCAATCCCAGACCCATTCGCCTCCATCATCGCCGCACCAGAATGGGCCAACAGCACCAAATGATGGGGGACGGCCACACACGAATATGAGGAATTGAGCACAACGGGCACACCGCCCCAGCCAATGACAGCCAAGAATTGAGTTGGGCACCTGGAAATGTTTTCAGTTTTTCGAGGAGGGTGTGGAATATCATCGGGAAATCGGAGGGTATTAATTCAGATGAGGGGTGGGTGGTTAATTCGGGAGTAGAAAACAATGGTGAAATCGCGGTGGATGGGTTTGGGAAATGTGGCTTAGCGGTTGGCCAAAAGTATTTGGAATTTATTTAGTGGCTGTGAAGAGAGAGAGAGAGAGAGAGAGAGAGAGAGATGCAGCGAGGCAGAGAGAGGGAGAGAGAGGGAGGGAGACAGATAGCGAAAGAGGGAGATAGAGAGAGCGGGAGATAGGGAGCGGGAGAGAGAGATAAAGAGAGAGGGGGAGGAGAGAGAGAGAGAGAGGGGGGGAGAGAGAGAGCAATGATACGATATGGCGGGGAAAACATAGACGTCGTAAACAAATTTTTGCAGATTTCGATGCAGAAGCAAGGGCTAAAAAGCTTCCGGCATGATAACACCCACGCCAAATGCTATTTTTTCAATGCTTCTCTCCCTAAAGACACCGACATTTCTATAGTAGACAGTTAATTAGAAACACTGCCCTTCAATCCACTACACCTACTCATAATTTCCTCCTCCATCCTCCTTTTTCACTCTTAATTGACCAAAAACCCAGAACCTAAATTCTCCTCCTCATCCCCGCGTCTTTCACTCTGGCCGTTCAACCATTGAATTCGTTGCAGCGAAATGAGATCCACGATGTTGGAATGCCAAAGATCCGGTGAGAACGTGTCGGAAGAGTGGTCGAAGAGGGGCCAAAGGAATAATCAAGGTTCAAATCTCAGCCCCGTCCTGGCCTAGGGTTTTGTTTGACCCGAAAAAGTGGAAGGATTGAGTTTTGATGGAAGGAAATGGGGGATGTGGTCTTGATTTAGTGAGTGGACGAGCATAAACTATAATAATATGTAATACGTGCACATTTTTATATAGTTCTAGAATATGCACGTATATCAAGAAAATATGTTAAATTCTTAGGATGTAATGGCCTAGAAAAGTTTGTATCAAAAGGAATAAAACATTGGCTTTCAAAAGTTAAGTTTGAAACAGTTACTTTGAATTCAACTAGAGAAAAATTAAAGATAAAGATTCACAAACAGCAACATTTTTTCAAAGGTATAGTTCGAAATCGACAATCAAAAATTTATCGAATCTTCAAAATTATTTTCCAAGAAATACGCTAAATCCTCCCCTTTTTGCCCCTACTACACCTTTTTAAATCCCCGGACACGTCTTGCAAAATATATGACTAATTCCCAAAAAACTCCGACGCCGAATTATCCCCCTCTCTAAAAACAACAACCATGAATGAATTCCACGCCGAAAACGGCAGCGCGTGAACCGCATATCAGCCCCCCGGAGGTCCCCGAAGGCTTTCCGACTAATTGTGGACCACAATAGGTGGAGGAGGGGGGCCACACCAAAAAATATCGTGACAACGCCTCATTTGCTCGGCGCACAAATTGGCTTGTAACTGGTATTTGAGAGGAAAGAGGATTTTTTTTCCAGCTAATTCCTAATCTTTGCCCAAGCAACCCTTTGGATTCAAGGGAATGGACTGGTATATTTCAAGACATAAAAAAATTTTAAAAGACGATTAATGTTATATGGTCCTTGACCCCGATTTTAGCGCAATGTAGAAAATTAGGAAGCCAAGTTTCAAAAAATTTAATCGATAATTAATAAAATTATATAAAAAATTTAAATAAAGTTGGAATATCGAAAAAATTGCAATAATGCTTCCCTTCAAAATTCCGGCCGGCATCTATGGTGTTCAAAAACGGCAGGCTAAATTTAGAATACCGAAATTTCAGAATGTCGAATATCAAAACATCTAACACAGCATGCCTTCTGACTACCTGACGTCTAAAATCCAGAATACCTAAATAACAGGAAGCAATATAAACAGAATTATCTGTTATGTCGGCAGCTCCATTTAAATGGCCAAATTCAAATTTTAAGCAATAAGGATTTAAGAATTCGAATTTTCGACATTCTCACTTGAACCAAGAGCAGAATGAGCTTTTTGAGTAGCCACTGGCTAGGGGGAGCGAGTGGCTTATGAGATTGAGGTGGAAGGTTCTGGACCCAGTGAAGGAGTAGGTGCTGCTGGGCAATAAGAGGCGACGTCTCCACCGTGGATTCAATTCCGCCTCCCAAATATCAAAAGGGGAGGCCCAGGTTGCGGTCCGGAGGGGGATCCCCGTGAATGGTGCCGTTTTGCTCCATTCCGAATACGTGATCAGCGTGAAAATTTTTGGGGTGGCTGGAGAGTGAGGGAGGGAGCCGGATCTGGCAACCGGGAAGTATTTAGGGGAGGAGGAAGAGTTAGATCAGAGTTCGGGTGACTCGGTGGAGTTCGAGGTTCCGTTTTGGAGATTGGATGCTATTTTTTCAAAATTATGGGGAGTGCGATACCTTGGCATTAATAAACAAACAAAACATTAATAGACAAAGCATTAATAGCCCAGAAGACAATCGCAGTTTAAAGGGGCCAATACATCAAAAATAAGTGTGTAAATGCATTAATAGACATAAACAGTCAGGTTCTAGAGGGATTTCGGCATGATAAAGAACCGGTAAATTATACCGTCCTGGCACCGATATTTTAATGAATTGTCGTCGAATTAATAGACAAGAACATAAACGTCTTTTAAAGGGATCGCGACACTAAAAATCATCCGTAAACTACCTTAAATGATCAACTCATTAATTGCCGGAAATTAAAGAAGTTGTTAAAGGAATCGTAACACCAGAAAATAACCGGTAAATTACCTCGGCCTAGCACTTGCCTTTAATGAATTATCAGCACTTTAATAAACAGGAACACTAATGTATTTTAAATGAAAATTAAGGTACGATCGGCTCGTTTTGACGTCATCCTTCAAATTAAACGCCGAATGTTAAAGTAAAAACACCTCCAAATCCGAACCACCAACAACTTCAGACAAAGCCGTTCCTTTTTGAGCGACTGCCGAAGCTGCGAATGGGTCACAAATTGGATTCCACCGATTCCGCCCCTCTCCATCCGGCACCCCCAATCCGGGTGCACTAGAATTCCGGATGGACGGCCACCTGGGGACCTCCTTCTCCCCCTCTTTTTTGCTCAGAAGCCTCTGACGACACATCGAGAACACTGAGGATTGGGTCTATGCCTCTAGTTCGGGCTACCCGACACCAATTGAGTACATTGTTACGCATAAAAGATGCGGGGGTTTTGGAAGAGTGGTGGAGGTGGAATACCAAGTTGTCTATAAGATAAAGAAAAAAAGGTAAAGGAGGCTTAACGGGGGGGCGACGAAATAGCGGTGGTGAAACTTAATTTAAAATTGAAACTGAAGGATCCCAATTTAACTAAATGTTATAAAATGGGCTTTTGGGCTGGAATTAGAGTATAATTTTCGACGCCCGGTCCGATTGCAGTTTCAAAAAAGCTGAACATCAACAAAACCTCCAAATTCATTCCCGCCCCCCCGTTAAGCAACCTATTCCAAATAAGGGATCTTCCGCTTATACTATATACTTAACAAGTCCACATTAATGTTGAAAAACAACAAAAATACTTGCCACCCCCATTAAACACCACGTTCCAAAAACAAGTGTATTATGCGGTTATAATAATCACATTAAAAAATAAAATGATAATCATCAATTCAAAAATCCAAAAAAATTAAATATTTTAAGAACTATTTAAATAACGCCTTTGTATCATTTCTATGCCTTTACTGGCTAAACACGAAATCGCTACAATTCCCCCTCGATTTATTTCGAGAGTTATTAAAGCAAAAAATGACATCAGAGAAATGGAAACCGCCACCCTTTTTTGCACAAACTCAGCCCATTCGTGCCCGGAATAACTTTTCCCTTTCCCACACTGATTCCCGGAAACGAATGGTTAAAAATCAGGCAATTTGGAACAACATAAAGAATCTTAAAAATATCCAAAACTTCAAACTCCCCCAAAGGGATCGTGAAATCACCAAATAACTCGGCATCGAAAAATCGAACAGGTAGTGGGGGAATCGACCGATGGCCGTGGGAAGGACCCGAGTCGGTGGGTTAGTATTTGGAGGGATTAAAAAAGGAATATAATATATCTGTTTTAGAGGGGAAACAATGTGTTTTGGAGATGTCAAAACCTAGTAGAGAGAGAGTGGGGTTGTGCCTGCAGCTGTCAGGTCATTATTTTGACGCATTTTCAAGCGAAAAAAGTTGCTCGTTTCGAAGAAAAACAGGATTTGGGGGGAATAAGCCACGATCCTACTTCCGCCATGATCCATGTAGGCACATGCCGAAGTCTTGGCCTACGTTTAAGCGAGATTGTTCCCTAAGCTGGCTTTAAACTAAAGCTTAGGGGAGCATGAGCCGAATTATAAGCCTTACTAACCATAATCGACCTTACCATAAGCGTGATACTAACCTGAAAGTATCATTTGCATACCTCCTGCCCAAAGATGCTCTAAAACCGGATTCCCAACCAAATTCAAAGTGTCTGCACACGCGGCCTCAAGGCGTTCCCAAGAGTTTGTCGAAAAGCGCCATAAAATATGAGTGGCCCTGGGGCACATGTTGAGGGTCCAGATGGAAGCCCTAGGCTTTTTTGCTCGTCGAATATGGCTTGGGCTGGGAAGGTTCGGTTACGGCTGCTGGCATAAACTCTGGGGCAAACCTCCAATGGGTTTAGTGGATTAAAGAACTCGCTGGAAATGGGATGCGTGAATGCGGATAAAACTGCGTGAAGGTGTCGATGAGCATCATTTCCAAGCGCTTAAAGCTATATCAAAGTGTCGAATACGTAGATGGTCATTACACGGAAATTTTAATATACAGAAAACCATTAAACAGAATGCAGCTAGGTAAAATTCTCATTATGCAGCAATTTGCCTGCCTATTAGCCAATTTTCTCCGACTCCGGCGAGTGTTTCCATATAATGAAAATTATATGTGATGAATTTCGGCATATTGTAATTTTTAAGTGGTCGTTTTCGGGGTAATGATTTCCTGGTTAACCAAGTTTTATTCTTCTGGTTATTCAATTTTCAGTATAAATTTGGTAAATTAAAGGGTTAAATTATTTCAAGTGGATACGAATCACGATGAAGGAGGACCAATTATCATTTCCAAGCCACATACACTACTTTACCGTTGACGTTTCCGGGCGACACTTTCCTATTTTAACAGCGGCAACAAGTTTATTTTCAGGCTTACGGATTTCTGAAGAATGATCCACAACCAGATAAATTTTATTAAATCACAGCTTTTCCTTGTCTGTTTCCTTGAACCCTGTTGCGACCCAATTTCCAATGTGTTATCTCAAACTGTTTATGCCCCCAATGCAACACGAAAAAAGGGTATGTTGTTTACGGGTCGACCCATCTCGGCCCTCTTTGCAGGTTATTGATTCCCCAGCTCAACACTGACCGATCCGATTTTGGCACCTTTTTGCTGCCCGTGATCCTTACGTTATGAAAAACAAACAGAACATCATGCCTAAATGCTTTCAGAATGGGCGATTCATCACCGATCGAGATCGTTGGAGATATGTTTTCGGAGGATGAAGCCGAATATGATGTCGTAATTGTTGGTAGGTTCTTCATGCCGTTTTAAATCTGTAATTTTGTTTCTGGCCTTAAAGAAAGGACCTAGAAAATAATACAGTACGTTTATTTTTCACATAACTGCAATAAAATCATTAAATACACCTTCTAAATTGCAGCTAACGGTCGATTACGATAGGTAATTCGGGTGTGATTTTTGCGTCAGCCGGTTAATTGCGTTAAAGTAATGAGTCAAATTAAACAAACTAAATCTAAAAATTTCGCTTCTATATATTTTTCTATTTACAGGGGCTGGCATCTCCGGACTAACTGCAGCAAATGAGCTCCGCAAAAGGGCCCCGGACCTCAAAGTATTTTTCTATATTTTGATTTTAAACGTTTTTTTGGATCCTCATTATCGAGGCAAAAGATCGAGTCGGCGGCCGAACATTCACCACCAAAATACGATCCGCCGGCGAAAAGCTGGATGATTTTGACTTGGGAGGTATCGCCCGGATTTTACACATTTTCCCAAATTGTTTAGGTCAATGGGTTGGTCGCAGACAGACGCATATTCTGGAAGTGTTGCAGGAATTGGGTCTCGAGACTTACGAACAGTTTGAGTAAGCTTTGAGTACACCTGTTCTTTCTTTCTATCTTACAATAGAAAAACTAAACAATCTAACCTCAAAAAAGTTACGAAATCTAAAAGTTGATCTAGTGACGGCCTAAAGGTTGCTCAACTCGGAATCTCGAAGAAACGCGAATACAGTAGCTCACTACCATCCAGCAGCCTCCGGTAATACTCTTCAAAAACCTGAAAATCAAAGTTTTAGACACTATACACTCTTTGAGGTGTTTGATTTCGTCAGAAGCACATTGAAAATTGATTATTTGATGAAGAGAGTAGGTTCTTTTAAGTTTTTTGCATAGAAATTTTTTTAGATCACCCCTTTAAACCTATTCCATTGGCACAGAGCCGCCGAATTGGATGAGGAAACCGTGTCAAAATGGGCCAAGCAGAATAGCTATACTCGAGCTGTGCAAGATGCCATTGATGTTGCCATTAGATCAGTGTATGGGGTTGAAGCCAACCGGTATGTTTGTAATATTTAACTTTGACGAAATCTTACTACTACTTATATATAAAAATTCATATTTTTTTGCTAGTAGTAGTCCTGTCTCTTAAAATTCTTTTACAGGATGAGCATGCTTTTCAACGTTTACTACTCACAAACAGCCGGCGGGTTTCTGAATCTCTGCGAAGTCGTTGGAGATGGAGCTCAAGCTATGCGCGTCAAGGTCAGAAAATCTAGGCCAGCCGGAAACTTTTTTAGGGAGGCACTCAACAAATCTCCACGCGCCTCGCTGAGCCATTCGTTTCAGAAGACGCGCTTCAGCTAAATAAAGCCGTTGGCCAGGTACAACCCCTCCAATTAAACACCAAAAAAAATAGATCAAAGTCCATGAGCAAGAACTAACAGCTACCGTCCTTGTCTATGATGCGAAGGCCAGAGATCCCGCTGAGGTGCCCAAAAGGAATAAATTTGAAATCCATAAATTTAATTTTTAGCTAGTCCCTATCCGAACCCGCCGGGTGATTCTAGCCGTTCCGCCATCACTCTGCGGCCGTATCCGCTTTGAGCCGGAAGTGCCTTCCCTCAAAAAACGGCTATTCCAATCCGCAACACCAGGTAGGCCACAAATCCCAAACCGGAAACAGGATTATTTTCAGGAAATCTGATCAAGTTCATCGCTACGTTCCAGAAGGCGTTCTGGCGAGAAAAAGGCTATTCCGGGGAGATCGTGTCAACCGGTCGTACAACCACTCCAGGAGAGGTGTGTTCGGAAAATGTTTGTTAAAACTGTGTAAAAGGTGCTACCGGTGATCTCGACCTACGATGCTTGTACATCGAATGGAAGCCCGGCGATTGTCGGTTTTATTGCTATCGAATATGCAGATACGACAAAGGAGGAGCGGTGTAATGCTGTTATTAAGGTATTATTAGGGTCTGGCTCAAATACTCTAACAATTTTGTTAGGGATCCAGCTCATTCGATAGGGCCTTTAATTCTTAACAAGTCTCCTCTTTCAAAAAGCGTTAAACCATCACATTTTTGGCAAAAGTTCGCACTGAAAAGGTGATTTCACACGCTTTCTTCCACTTTAAAAAAGCGTTTCCATTAGCGTTTAGCAGTGTCTTAAAGAATTGGACCTGTGCAAAATGTTAAACTTTATCCAATGAAAGATATATCTCATCGCAAAAATTTGTTTTCGCCCAAAAACAACACACAACTAAGGGGAAATTCGATTTTTTATTAATTACAGCAAATCTAGGACTTGATGCGGTTCCTTGGAGATGAAGCCTTGACCCAATTTGTCGACTATGAGGAGAAGCTGTGGTCCCAGGCACGTTGTAGCCTACCATATTAAAATGATCGCTTGTATAGGAGCCTTTCAGTGGCGGATGTCCGGTTGATTATATGCCGCCTGGACAAATGGACGCATTCCAGACGATTCGTGATCCTTTCCATACGTTAGCATCTTCTATCCTTTACTGAAAAGTATTTTCTAGGGTCCACTTCGCCGGTACTGAATCGGCGACGCATTGGATGGGATATATGAGCGGTGCTGTACAGGCTGGGCGGCGGTAAGGGAAAATAGACACCGAAATTCTTTCTTTAATTTCAGTGCTGCTCACGAAGTGCTTCATAATCTAGGTCGAGACGCTGTAATTAATGGAAACTATCTGGTTCGTGGCCCTTGCAAAAATATTTATGTATTCCTAGACGGACTCCATTTACGGCCCGGAGTATGTGGTTCCAGTTGCTCCCTGCAACGGATATATCGAGGTAAAACAATTTGGGGAAGAAAACTTTCAGAATTTGATATCATGGTTCTTTCGCATTATCGGGGGGGGCGGGACCTTGTTATCCAGTGTCCAATTTTCCCATATGGAATCTTGGATATTTCTACAATGTTTTGCAAAAACCTCCTTTTGACAAAAAATACTAAAAAATATAGATTATCAAGGAAAATGATGCGCCCCCCCCCGATAATGAAAAAGCACCGATATATTTCGACGTTTTTTACCCTATTTTAGCTTTGCTACCCGGATGCGAAACTGTGCCTTAGTTTAGTTTAGTTGGGTACCTCATATTTAATCTGACACTTCTACCACTTATGATGCTTTATTTCAAAATTTTATAATCTATTTCCTTCGAATTTCGAATTTTCGAATTGATTCGATTAGAGCCTAAAATTCACCCTGGCACTCCCCAGGCACGCTTTCTAACCCAATAAAAACCAATTAAACTGCCTGGTAAATAGGGCCCGCGGCAGCCTTTCTTGCGGGGGTCCCGACAATAAACCACGTGTTATCATTTTTACGAGCGCCAATGAAAATCGCTGCCCCGGGTGCATTCCGCGTTATGTAGCCATTTTAATAGCTTTTCGTTGGGCATACAGCAGCACCGAATGGTCTTTGCGTTTTTGGTGCAAGAAGAAGCTCAAAAACTGACTGGGCGAGATGGCATGAGAGTGGATACTGTAATCTATGGCCGTGAATTAAAAAAATGTGCATGTAGACTTGGAATAGAAAGCGTCAGGCTCTTTAACTAAAAAGTATCTCCTAGCGGAGAAAGGGAAGAATTTTAAGGTATGTTTGATACATGATTAGATGCGCAAGGGCTCGGAGATTACTACACATACCCGAATTTCTAAAAAAACTATTTTCTAAATTTAAATTAAATTTTTGCTGAAACGCCAGTGACCGGCTTTGTTAGAACTTGTTACCATAGCTCCAAGACGCCAAGCCATTTTCTTAAACACGACACAACGCCTCCAAATACACCCTTCAGCGAATCTCCCCCTGGTGGCGTCGCATCTTCTTCTTTTCGGCACTGTGCTTCGGCGTATTTGCCTATTCACGTAAATACAACCTGAGCATGACCGCCAAAGCTGTTCGCCCCACCGAGCGTGCACTTCTCGGATGGTTCGGCACGTGGTGGCCGTGATTCTCCAGTATAAGAAGACAATAATTAGACAAACTTGCCATTGATAAATAAGCTCTAGGACTGCGTGTGCTTATTCCCCGTATTGTGCCAGGTATTGTATGTGTGATACTACGAATAAAGAGTAGTGGATGATGAGGATTGATGGCAACACAAAAGCCGCAAGAAATAAAAATTTAACTTACGCTATTTAGCACTTACAGCCTCTTGAGAGACGGTGTGATTTGAAACGAGACGTAGCAGGTCCATGCCAAAATTGTCGCTGATTACGGATCCGATTCCGTAAATTTAAAAAAATCGGATTTCAAAAGTTACAACGCATTTTTTTCTTGGATTTTCTTGTAAATACCGGACTTTATTCTTTGACCTACAAATGCCTCATTCGAAAGCGTTTTTCTATCCTATGACTTTTGTCTGAATGATTCTGCCGGATTAAAAAAGTGCAAGGATTAAAAATATTTAAGTTTTCGACCACATTCGGACAAAAAAATGCTTTTCGACTTTCGCAAACCCGTGAATTTGCAATTTTTGAAAGCTGGACCGGAATCAGCAAAATATTCCGCACCGGGTGGGCCCGCTACCAAATCCCACCTTGGCCTTAAGAGACCTCTTTGAAGTTAAAAAACCAGTGACAAACTACAACCCCGATGTTTCCGTGCTGATACCCCGTTGTGACATCATTCCCTAGGTGGTGAGACTTCCTTCTTACTTCATTCCCGGCTATCAGGGATAAAAATGTGTAGATAGCCAGTCCCTGTCTACCCAGATGAGTTCGGTAGACCAGTCCATAGAACGGATCGTCGGTTTGCATTGAAGGGACACGCGTACCGCCCCCCTTTAGTTATCAAATCACGTGACCCACCCTCGCTAAGGGGACTCACATGATAAACTACATCAATTAGGGAAGCTTCTGGAAAGCAAACAAATGCACGAAAAGAGGAGGGGAGCACGATTCTGTACCAATGGGACGCTCTTTAAAGGGAGGCGGGCCGCTTGAGAGGGGGTTTTATAGAAATACGTGTCCATTCGATACGTGCAAGTAATAAAGGGATGCGGAAGGGATGACTATGAATCTTGTTGCCATCCGTCACGGATGTTGTTGAGTCCGCGACTTGCAACGCACACGCAACTCGTGAAAGCAAAAAAAGGAATACTGTTCAAACCCCCTATAAAGCGCACGTTCGGAAGTTTGCACTTATACGTCTTTTACGCAGAGGACGCAAGGCAAAAAGAGCTACGCAGGTGTTCATAGGTGTATATCGAAAAAATAAATTACTATAAAAATAAAAAGGTTTTCTACAATAAAGAACAGAAAATTATCGGCCCTCTTCAGGGCGATTCGAGACGGGTACGAAACGCTACACTTGACGCTCTATTGTAAAAATTCCACGTTATATTTTTTTAACCTAGGTCTAGATTTGAAGTTGATCATTCTTGAGCGGAAGCCGAACTGGCAGCATACGAATTCTGCTCCTATCTGCTCCTCTTGAGCACTGTTTTGTGCAGCTCATGGTCATGTCCTGCCCAGCCCGAAGCCTTTTCCCCCGGATCGAATCAGCCATTGATGAACGGGTTGTGGCACCCGTCCACCTTGAACTCGTTGATGGTACGTAGATTTTTGATCATATCCTGATCATCCCTAATACTTTCCGAATCTAACAAAAACCCATATCGCTTGCACCTTCAGACGGCCAACTGGATCAACGTTTTCGAGCCCGTCACCACCTTGAACTCGCTCGTCATGTGTCCAAGACACCCTGGAGATCCAAGATCACTAACACATTGACAGTAAAAAAATCTTCTGGCACCCGTCCACCTCGAACTCGTGCATTTTTAAGCATTTCTTGGTCATATCCTTGACATGGCGCCTTCTGAAATCACTCCACCTCACTCGTTCATTTTGTGCAATTCTTGGTCATGTCCTGTTCATCGCACACCCGCTAGAACATTCTACTGTAAGACCCCTTCTGGCTCCCGTCTACCTTGAACTCATCCATTTTGTGCCCAAGTTCGTGGTCATTACCTGCTCCTCCCAAGCCTCTTCACTCTCATTCGAATGAGGAGGGCCCCCTTCAGACTCATCCACCCTCATTCAGCCACCGTTGATAAGCCTTTACGACGTTTGGGCCCCCGGAGGCGAAAGTCGTAAATTTCGGTGGGCGGTCGTCCAGTGATAGCGGGGGCCTTATGTATAAGGTCACCGTCCATCCAGGCACAATCTTTATTCGTCGTCGGCTGACCTTCAGATGGGCGGGGGCTGCATCTTTAAAGACACTTCCAGTCATATCAATAGGTCGCACAGGGGTTGCCTCAGGCAATATGCCAATCAAATCATTAGTAGGGAGGGATGATAACACTTTTTGGTCTGCATCTAACATCACACCTGTCTCTTATAGTTATTGGTCGATTGATTCCCTGCTAATTCCCTGATTTTTTTTTGTCTGGTTTCATCTATCTTTCATTCATTTTCGGGATTTATTTACGCTATTTCGGGCTAGCAGGTTCATTAGAAAACAAAGTTTAATATAGTTTAGCGTGTAAAATTTCCAAAGTTAGAATTTTTGACTTTGGATGTCCCCCAAAGTCGTATAAAAAAACTTGATTTCATAGAAAAACAACAATTTTTCTCTATCCTAAGCCTGACTTTTCGGGGTGTTTTTCCCGGATGGAGTCTATATCTCCCTTCCGAACCCTTCCCCCCCTCGTTACAGTACCCGTCAAATTTAATCCGTATTTTTAGACGGTTGTTCAAGCTGAAAACGTACAGGAAGCCCGACAATAATGGCGGAACAGACGGCACCGGTCCAGGCTGACTACGATGTGGTGATTGTGGGTGCCGGAGTGTCCGGACTGGCCACCGCGCACGAGCTGCGCAAACGAGCTCCGGATCTGAAAGTGCTGATCGTCGAAGCGAAGAACCGCGTCGGCGGCCGAACCCTGACTGTCGACCTGAAGGGACGCACCGATAAGCCGGAGAAATTCGATCTTGGAGGTTAGAAATATGATAGGTTATACGGTATTGAAAACGGGTAAGAGCTTCAACGTTTCAAGCCTGGTAGAGGGTTATAATTAAACCTAGAAGAAAGGTTGTGTGCGTAAAAACCAACAAAATACAACCGATTTTCTAGGACAATGGGTCGGCAAAACCCAGTCGCACATCCTGGAGATCATGAAGGAACTGAGGATCCAAACCTATGATCAATACACGTAATAATACATAAAATTCCAAATCAACAAACTAATATTTAGCGACGGCATCAAGCTCGCCCAAATGGGTGATGTCAACGAGCTGCGCCCTTATGTGTCGGCACTGTCTGAGAAGAACCTTCGGTAATCGCAAATACAATCAATCATCAAAACTAAAATTTCAGCCATTACACGGAGGTTGAGCTCCTCGACTTCTTCACCAACAACAACAAGCTGAAGGCGCTGTGCGACAAGCTAGACTTAATTGAGATCTTTGACAGTCAGGATGCCGCCGATCTCGACCAGGTGTGTACTTCAACCCATCTAAAAATGCTGTAATAGATGACCGTATCCCAATGGACCAAAGACAACTGCCAAACGGATACTGTAGAAGATGTGATGGAGCTCGGCTCACGTATCGTATATGGGGTCCCATTCACCCGGATGTCTATGCTGTACCATCTGTTCTTCTCCAAATCGGCTGGTGGCTACCAAAATCTGGTAGAATCGATTGGAGATGGAGCCCAGGCGATCAGGCTGCATGTAAGTCGAAAGTTTAATTCGTCACTTTTTAAAAATCGTACTTGAAACGCCATAAATGAAATTTCAGGGAGGAACCCAGCAAATCTCTGAGAAGCTCGCACAGCCTTTCATCGAAAGAGAACAGCTGAAATTCAATACGGCTGTCAACAGAGTAGAAAAACAATGAAAATTGTCAAAAAACGCATTATAGATCGATGTCGACACCAAGACTGGACTCGCCCATGTCCGAATGTATGCCACCAAGAGCAAGGAGTCCGTCTTGAGAGTGAGTTCTGCATTTCAAGTCCATATAATAACTAATCCCCAGATGCACGTCGTCAAGACTAAACGTGTTGTCATGGCCATCCCCCCAACTGAATGCGGAAAGATTCGCTGGGTCCCTGAAGTTCCATTCATCAAGCGACGCCTATTCGACAACCTCTATTTCGGAAACATGATCAAATTTGTTGTCACCTACAAGCGCTCATTTTGGCGTGAGAAGGGATTCTCCGGTGAAGTAGTTTCAATGGGCAGGACGACCGAGGAGGGAGAGGTAGTTCAATTTCCAGTCAAACATACCAAAAAAATCATACCGGAAAACCCAACACTTTGATTCAGATGTTGCCGATCGTGGATGCATATGATGGCTGCGCCCCCGGTGGCACCCCAGCCATCGTCGGTTTCATGCGTGAAGAATATGCCGATCATACAAAAGAAGAACGTTGCAAGGAAGCTGTTGACGTAAGTAAACATTTTTCAGCATCTTACAGCCTCAAAAATTCAGGACCTGGCCCGAATTTTCGGCGAAGAAGCGAAAGACTTCATCGATTATGACGAGAAAGTGTGGGGACAGGTTGGTAGAAATTTAGTCGAATTTTTCTAACGGGATGATTTTAGGAACCTTTTAACGGTGGTTGCCCGGTAGCGTATGTGCCTCCAGGCCAAATGGATGCTTTCGCTGCGATTCGAGAACCCCATCACAAGTAAGTTGTTTTTCACTGAAGGAAATTAGTCCGTAGTGTTCACTTCGCGGGAACCGAGTCGGCTACACACTGGATGGGCTATATGAGCGGAGCTGTCCAAGCCGGAAGACGGTAGGTTATGAGCACGGTTAAGAAAAAGCCATCTTTTAGGGCTGCCCACGAGGTTTTGCATATGCTGGACCGCGATGATGTGGTGCATTTCAGCTATCTGGTAAGCCATAAACCTTCTCATCCTAATAACAACTCATTTGAGGCCGATTCCATGTTCGGCCCGACCTTCCTCGAGAAGCAACAGAACGAGACCACCACTCAACCCAAATCCAAAATATAATAATCTTATAAATAAAGATACTAGAGCCCTATTCGAAAAAAACCTGATAGAAACATCGATATCTTGAGAAAAATTGGATTTCAAAAAATTTCGAGTCAAAAAATTTTTATCCAAATAATGTTAATATCTAACAAAAAAGCACTTGTGTTGCAGAAGTGCTCCGGGATCTAGCTCTTGCTAGACGGCAACGCGGCTTGTCGCTTGCTTCTGCGTAGGCGTGGAGTTTGTCCAAACTAAATAAAAGAATATGTTGAGCCAAGCAAAACGCACCAAGTTTTCATCCTTCGAATCCGAAAATGTATCGTTGTTTTCCTCGTTCTCGACCAATTCGTTCCGTCGAAAAGGAGTGGTGCGTGGCTTTAGGATTGACCGCGTAACAGATTGATGAGCCTTGCTATCCTGAAAAAAGAGAGTCCGTTATGCGCGCGGATAAACCTTTGGTGCTGGCAGTGCATCGTCTTCTTCGCGTAGAGCCTCTTGAAAGCGGACACGCTGATGTTGGTGCGCCGTCCGACTTGGGGTCTTTGGTGCTATTTCTTGTACGTAGGCATCGAATACTTCCTAAAAATATGTAAGAAATCACTCGTTATGAGTACCTGTTCCATCGGCTCGGAGAACGGATTGATTCCAGATGGCAGAAGGCTCGGGCGAGGCAGCATGGAAGGTCTCTAAAGATCACGTCAGCATCCAAAATCCGTCATACCCCATATCCTGTGCCGAAATAGCTTGGTCGTCCAAAATTAATCGGCGCCGGTCGATTATTTCGAATCAAATCCAGACTAGCAGCACAAGGCACAAAGTCTTCTTCCGCGATAGTTCTAAAGATCATTGACAAAATCGAACAATAAGCTTACTTAGACACTTTGACACGCATTCGGTTTGACGGCGTTTGTACAGACATAGATGAAGCAGAGCTGGGGCTTGGCTCCGGCCTTGAATTATTCTGCGGTATCTCTTCCTTCCGTAATGGTGTAGATAGTACAGCGGATAATCTCCTGCTTCTCCGCAGATTTGGTGTTTGAGGGGCCTAAATTTTGGTCAGAGTTAAATAAGTGCGCATAGGATACCTTCGAAGAACCGACATCATCCAATGGCGTCGTTTTTACCGGCCGACTGCTGTCGGGCGATACGTGCGGTTTTCTGATCGATGAAACTGTCTGGGATGAGTTCGGCTGGTTCTACAGAGAATGTTAATAAAAAGCAGAATATAAATAACCTCAATCTCAGTATCATCTGCGTCTTCAGTGCTAACAACCCGTTGCGGTGTAGCAGCCCCTTCGCTTATGGACGTTAGCTGAAAGCAGTAAAATAGCTTTTCATTGGAGTCAATTTCAACAGAACAACAACTAAAGCGCTAATACTGATTTCGATCCCTCAAAAAATTAACGAAAACTAGCTAAACATACCGTTTGATTCGAAGTCTTGGGCGTCTTTTTGAACATGAAGTCCTTGAAGGTTTTCTAGAATAGCATTTAGGTGAAGGACGACCAACAAATTACCTTTTCGGTATCTGTGCAATCCTTGGCAAATGGGTTGATACCAAAGGGAAGCATACTTGGCCGTGGTACGAGGGAAGGACGCTAAATACATCAACATCCATCAAACAACAAAAATATACCCCCATGCTCGAGGAGCCAAAGAAGCTGGGCCGTCCTGCTGATGAAGGCAATGGCTTGTTATTGCGGATCAAGGCGAGGCTTGTGGCACAAGGCACAAAGTCTTCTTGCTTGGTGCGAGTAAAGCTGAATCAGTTTTGACAAAAAACCGGTGAAAAAATACCTCGATGGAGCAGTGCGATTTAGGACTGAGCTGGATGGTGGCTTGATCCGTGAAGTAACCGATGCATTTTTACGCGCTTCGGCGACCATTGATATGCGCGTTTCTGAAGAAGCGGTAGCGGGACGTTTCACTTGAGAGGTGGCCATCGAAATATTCACTCGCGCGACAATTGAAGGTTTTCCGTTTGTTGCAGTCGTACCTAATAGATTGTAAAGCAGACGACCAAGCCCTTACCAGTATGGCTGCTCGGCCTCATTCCAGATGTAGAAGTGCCCGCGCGGCTGCTGGCAAAAGTTCGCGACAGTTGCCTAATTCAAATTGTTACTTGGCAATAAAAGAGGAACTTACGAATATTTTGCTTTAGCCTCAGCAATCCGATTGATCCTGTCCTTCTCCTTCATTATAGGCGCCTTTGAGGACGATTTTTGCAATCTGAAAAATGGAGTTTAGCAAATTCCAAATTTTCAAGTTCAGGTGCAACGAAAGTACTCCCATATCCGGAAAATGGCACACTTGCTGTTTGATGGCCCCACTTATTTGAAAAAGAAAATCTAGGGAAAAACTAAAATGCAGACCCCAAACGCTGCTGCGGTGCCGCTGAAGGGCGGCCCATCACGGATTTCCTTCTTAGTTGGAACGGATGTCAACTGAAACGAAGGTTTTTATGAAAAGGAACATTCCAGGAAGAAAGCAGCGCAACTATAAATCGCGGAAATCAAGGTATTTAGACTTTATTTTTATCTCGAGCTGCAAAGCCTTTTTGCCAGCTATCTGGAAAAACATGCTTTAGCTTCACAATTTTGGTTCATGAAGTCGAGTTCTATTCAAACCTTCGCGTTTCGCGGTGCCAGGTGGTCCCGAGGGGAATTGCTTGCGTTGTAAGGGGGCGCGTTGCAGGGGCCGCGGCGGCGCTCCACTTGCTCATGTAAAAGTCATTTCCTTTTATCTAAAAACCCCTGGATTTTCTTTCAACGTTCGTTTTTTTCAGGAAAGATGGGGGACGAGCAGCTGAATGTTGACAATCTCATTACGAGGCTTCTGGAAGGTTGTTTTATTTTTTAACAGTACAAATGTTTTTTCCAGTCCGTGGTTGCCGACCCGGCAAGACAGTTTCGATGACGGAAAACGAAGTCAAGGCTCTCTGCTCGAAGTCGCGAGAGATTTTCCTCTCTCAGCCGATCTTGCTTGAACTCGAGGCGCCGTTGAAGATTTGCGGAGATATTCACGGACAGTTCAATGACCTCTTGCGGCTCTTTGAATATGGTGGATTTCCCCCGGAGGCCAACTACCTGTTTCTCGGCGACTACGTTGATCGTGGAAAGCAGAGTCTTGAGGTAAATGTTGTCAAATATCCTGAATGTTTCTTTTAGACGATTTGCCTCTTGTTGGCCTACAAGGTCAAGTATCCGGAAAACTTCTTCCTTCTTCGCGGGAACCATGAATGCGCCTCCATTAACAGAATCTACGGCTTTTACGATGAATGCAAGCGCCGTTTCTCGATCAAGTTGTGGAAGACGTTTACCGACTGCTTCAACTGTCTCCCGATCGCGGCCTTGATTGACGAGAAGATATTCTGCTGCCATGGAGGTCTATCCCCTGACTTGCAGAACATGGAGCAAATCAGACGGATTATGAGGCCCACTGATGTTCCAGACACCGGTGCGTTTTGCTTTCAAATATTTTATTTGAGCATTATGCCATGGAGTTATCGGAATATATTAGATATCGAAATCCTTGTCATAGTGGCGCCGCAGGGCTTTTGCCGTGTTGAAACATCGTTATAGATATCGAGAACGTATAAATCTCCTCGCAAACTGGCGCTAGCGCTTTTGAAATGTGTCGTTTATAATTTATAATTTAGGTCTGCTATGCGACCTTCTGTGGTCTGACCCCGACAAAGATGTCCAAGGCTGGGGTGAAAATGATCGCGGGGTCTCCTTCACGTTTGGGCCAGACGTCGTTGCCAAATTCTTGAACCGCCACGATCTTGATCTCATTTGTCGCGCTCATCAGGTACGCCGTATATTATGAATAAAATATTGTTTTAGGTCGTCGAAGACGGGTACGAATTTTTCGCGAAGAGGCAACTCGTGACTCTGTTTTCTGCGCCAAACTACTGCGGCGAGTTCGACAACGCTGGTGGTATGATGAGCGTTGACGAGACACTGATGTGCTCTTTCCAAGTATGCTACTTTTTTAGTATCAAGATATTGTTTTTAGATTCTGAAACCGTCCGAGAAGAAGGCCAAGTACCAGTACCAAGGTGTCAATTCGGGACGGCCGCCACCGGCGAATACAAATCGACCAGCCAGCAACGCGGGAACTGGAAAGAAGAAATAAGCCTTCCGTTGTCAATTCTAATCTCATTTGCTATGTACCCTAAGCGATGCTTCTCGTACGTGCGCCCTTTATCCCCTTCTTATTTTCGGCGGTTGAGCAAGTGGTGCTAAAAATTTACATGTAGTTTCTTTCGAATTTCAGCGCCTCTGGTAGGCAAAACTTTTGTAAACGGATGCATAGGCTGCTGGAGAAACTGCAATAGGTTTTTTGCCCTCTTTTGTTGATTCAAAATTAAAAATAGAAGGCGTTCATTTCTGCTGCCCTTTATTTATATGGATATACATAAAATAGCACGATGTGCATGCGCCTCCGTCGATACTTTGCACAAACCCCCACATTCCCGCGGATATTTGTCCCCCAAGGTTGATTCATGACCTTCATTATTTGCATGTTTCCTTGATTGGCCCTTTGTATTCCGTGGGATATTCTGCAAGAAGAATTGAATAAAGCGTGCTATCTAAGACCTAATACAGTTACGAACATCGCTTTATCATCGCACAACAAAATACTTTTGCAATTTTCCGTGCTTCCTTACTGGACAGTTGGGACTCTGTACACATTTACAGGGGTATAGCCAAATTAACTCGTCAACATTCAACAGCTATTATGTCAGCGGCTTTTGCAATGTCACGGGCGGTTAGAAGCTACAAACGCGATGAGAAGTTGCCTCGAGGTGCGGATGGTTTTCGATTAATTTCGGATATAGTTTTTGAGTACAAATTCTTTGGATGACGGCGCCAATGAAGTACTTGGGTGCCTGCTTCAAGCGGCAGATTACTTGGCTCGGTTTTTGACGAAAACGGAGGTTCGGTTTTTTCTTTATTATGTTGGATAATCGTCTAGGTCCACGAACTGATCGTAAGATGCTTCTCATTACGGTTGATGGATTTCGGCCTGGTTCAAGTTCTGAGAGCCGGGGCCAACGAAGTGAGCTGATAGCCTCGCGATCATCTATGGAGAAAATTTAGTGTCCGGAACTGACGGTGGCTATTTGTGCCCAATTAGAGAGTAACATTGCGGAAGTGTTCAAGCGCGCCAGGGAACCTGGATATTGTAAGAAGGAATTCGTTGCCCAATCTGTTCTTTAGATCATCGTTGCGAAAACTGGGCAGCGGCACTCATCGGTCTTTACAATGTTGTGGGCTCAAATTTTCGCGGTACATTCCGTTTATGGTGCAAGAATTTCCAATTTAGATCTTCAATTGGCCCAGAGGGCTGCGGCTGTTGACGGCTTACTTACTTGGACGATTGATTCCATGGTCAAGTCTCTCAGTATTGCACGCGAACAGCAGCTTGGCGTTGAAGCTTTGAAACTAACAACCTGCGTGCTGTTGAAGCTGCCGACTATTGAGGTATCGTCAAGTGTTATTTTATTTTGGGATACCTTTTAGAACGGCAGCCGTTTTCTTGCAAGGTTTTGCTGCGAAATATTGAACTGTCCCTTCTCTTTTGAAGATGGGCTTTGTGAAGAGGTATCTCGTTACTGGGTTTGCACTCCTATATCTTTCCATAGATGTTCAACGACAAATCGAATGGAATTCGCGTAATGGAAAAGCTACTTGAGGCCATATTGACAATTTTATCTGGTGCTAGACATTTGACTGTAAGTTGAATTTCATCAGTAATGAATTTTTGCAGGTTTTGCTCGGTCGCTCCGGCGCGCAAATCGGTTCAACGTCACATAGTTATTTTCGGAAAGTGCTTCTCCAGGTAGTGGTGAAGATTTGTGGTTTACGATTATTTTAGGCGGATGTGGGCCCTGGCACTACCAAACTTCTCGTATCCTATTTTGTCACAAACATGGACGTCGCAGCATTAGAAAGATTCATAGAGGTTTCTGCGATTTAATGTGCCAATTTTGAATTTAGGACGTGGCGCGTTTGTGGTCGGACCAGAACATCGTCTCGTCCTCTTCTTGGCCCTATCTGCTTCATATTAGTCGTGTATTGCTGTTGCTAGGCGATCGGTAATATCACATGGGCTTGGCTTTTTAAACACTTTTTTAGTTCATCCAACAGCCGGTGCGGGGAATTGCTTGTCAAGAGCTGGCCGAGGATTATGTCTGGGGTTCAATTTTATCTGCGGCGGCCAGGTATAACATTATATAGCATTGTATCTGAGGTTTAGAGGATACCGTGAAGCAACTTGGGATGTTGGTTGGGCAGCAGCTCTCAACGTTATTGGAATCAACCGCTGGGGCACTTGATTTTGAACTCAAGCCGTTGCCGGAGATAGCCAAGCTTCTGGCTGAGATCAGCGTTGGAGCTTATTCTCAATTCGTACAAATTGCTTAGGATGGTTCAACTTCTGGACCTGATACTTCCCATGCTTCTGAATCCGAGCCGGTATTGCGCATGGTCGAGGTTCGGCCAGCATCAAAGCTCGACAGTGATGATGAGGAACTCGACTTTGAGCCATATGAGATGCCTTCTAACGAATTGTTCCTTGATAATGGCAAGGTTGGTGATTCATTTTTGTTTTCAATGAAGATCTTTCTTCATAGGAATCTACGGACGTTGCGAAGATTTCTGCCCCGCCCCGGTATCTTCGTGAATGTATTTCATGGTTGACTGAAGATGATTTGCCTCGCTGGGAGTCGGCGTTTAATGCTCTCGAAGGTTTTAGCGTGTTCTATGTACTCACTCAGGCTTTAGGGTTTATCATTCGGAAGGCTATCGGCCTTCAGGAAGAATCGGGCAGGCTATTAAGGATATTGATCTATTTGGATGACAAGTCTGGCATTCAGGATTTTGAGGTATTTTTTTTTTAACTACGGACGTTCAAATTTATAGAAAATGAAACAAAGCCGAATATCAAACCTGCTTGCGGTCTATCCACACCTTGTCCCATTGGCCGCCGAATCCCTTTTCGCCGCACGTGGAACTATGAATCTAAGGTATTTAATTCTATTGTCACCTAACGTTATTAAAGGTATGAATTGCTTCACTGCATTCACGACGCCGCAAAGATTCTCTCCGACGGCTCGGGGATAGATGATGCGTCTGACGCACAACCTGCAATGGGCGAGATGCCAGCCAGACCTGTATGCTTTTCGCAAGGAGGCACATTTTTCGTTTTTAGAAATGGCGTTCGGTTGTTGACCAGCGCGTTCAAGATAGGACCCGCTATATCACGCAGCGTCTTTTGGGAAAGAAGAAGACGAAGCTGCGGAGCAATCGACTCTCCGCTTCGATTGATCTCTTCACTTATCCATTATTGCGTTCCGAAGTTTCGGGCGAACATCTGCAACTGCTCGGACAAGATTACCAGCTGTTTTCTTGCATCTTGTCGACTGTCTGCGAAATCGTAGAAATGGCAACAATGGCGCCGACATTGCACCGGATATGCGGGTAGAATTTATGGATACATTGGTACAATAGAATCTAGGCTGTTGAACGAAGCAGCCGACTCCATTGCGAGGCGTCCCGAACCGCTGCTTCGTCTAACGGTTTTTTTCGTCAGAGGAACGGTATTGGATGCACTTCCGGAAGAGCTTTTTCTGCAGGTCAAACTTTTCGCATATGTACTCACTTACTTTTCTGACTTGCCACCGTTACGTAGAACACTGTTTTTAGTTGTTTCAAGACCGACTAAAGGATTGGCTCGAATTTGCTGGGGAACACATAGATGATCGTGGTTCCGACCAGGTTGGCTTTACTTTGTTCGGTTGGAAAACGTTTTTCTATAGGATTTACGTGATGCGGCTAATCAGCTCGTCTTCAAAATTGTTGGCCTTCTGAAGCGACAGGAAGCACAGGAATTATGAAGGTATCAACTTGTTGCTTAGGTTGATCATTTTTGTCGTAGGTTTAAAGCGGTGCAACTGTTTGGCCCGAGCTTGCTCAGGAACATATCGAGGCGCGGGATTACGAGACGGTTGGGCTATTATTATACATCTAATTGATCTCATTCGTTTTCTGACGGTAACAATTTATGCAAGAATAAAGTATTTATTTCTGAATACATAAATAGTTTCTGTGAGAGGGTTTCTACAAATCATGGTTCAAAGCATTCCCCAGGTTGTGCGGTTGTTTTCGTCGCGAAAGGGCACTTTAGCAAATATTAGCCTCCGCGGTCGAGGACATTCATCGAGATCCTAGGTTCCAATGATGTTTCATTCACTTCTGTTTCAGTTAGGTACCCTTGTCTCAATTAATTTAAAGATGGGCTAGACGGGTTTGTGGTTTTTAATAGCCTCTGAAATTTTCAAGGATCTCGACGTGGTTCTCGAACGAAACAATAATCCCCACGTATCTTTAGCCGTCAGCCTCTCTGCCGCGTGACCATTATTTTCTCTATTTGCCGACATTGAAAGTCGTAATTTCAGGCTGGACCAGGCCCGGGTTTTGGGACGGGCAGGAAGAAAGCTTTTTGGAGCGGGTGGTGGGAGTGGAAAGGGAAAACTCACGAGCATATTTTCGGGAAACAGGACCGAGTGAGAGTTTTGTATGTGCCCTGTCCCTTCCCAGCCAACCCCTCTTCCACCTTTGATCTGATAGTTTTCGACGGGCCAACTGTGAGAAGAGATCCGCTGCTTGCTTTGATCCGCCAATATATCCTATTCTTGCCTATGCAACGATCTTCAATTTTGCTTCGCGTATAGACGATCGGCAAGATCCGGAAGGATGCGGAGCTCTGGAAAACAATCATGCGCCAAATTGCAAGTTCTTTTGAGGGTCCATCGAGACAGCTGGCATTTTATTGTCAGTAGCCGAGGTTTCCTTTTTGTGTTTTGAGGGGCCCCGTTTGGACGGCAACCCTTTTATTTTTAGACCCACAACTCAATGAACTTGGACGTAAAATTTGCGCATTTGGCAGATAGGTTTCACTCCTTTTTCTATTTTAGGGTGGTGTCTGGCCTGTTTGGGGGAAAAAGGTGTAGGTGAAAAGTTTCTTTCTGATGCCGAGAGCGAGTGTTGGGTGGAGCTTAGCGAGTGATTCACAACTGGTAGCAAGCATTGCGACACGCCGGAGTCCATTCAAGCCGTCCATATAGGCCTTGGCAGTGTGACCGGCCAGACGATAGGGTCGAGTAAACGGGTATTAGGAAGTGTGTCTGAAGGGAGGGGAATTGGACACGCAGTCGTCAACGGTAGGGCGGTATTCTTCTCCTCCGGTCCACGCTCTTCTTCTAGCCAGGTCGACCGGCCGCCTGCTTTTTGTTTTAGGGGTTCGTGAGGGGTGTGTATCCCCGCTACGTCAACTAGAGTCATTTTCTTGGTGTGTATAATTTATCCTCTTTGCTTAGATATGCCAAAATTAATTTTTATATACTTTTTACCTTATTCGCTTTTCTGACCCCCTTTTTATGATGATGGTTAGCTGCTCAAAATCGATCACCGCCCCCCTTTTTCATGTCCGAATGTAAGCAGTAAGTGGCCCCCATTGCTATCAATGGGTTCTATTTGCGTCGGCTCTTCCTCACCCACCTCAACTCCCCTCACCCAGAGGCTGACTCATCAGACCCAGATTCCAGGGGTTGTTGCTAGGTTGGCCCGTTGCCCGCGCTTTTTCTCTCGAATTTCATTGCCGGACCGTGCCCCCGGAATTTTATGGTGGCGGCCACCTGTGAGGGGAGGTTTTTCATTTGAGAGCTCGGATTAAGGGGATGGACCAGGCATGACAATATATTCATCAGATTTTGTGCCTCACGACGCCTAATTTCAGCCACCGTTTTTTCAATTGCGTAATAGATGATGGTGGCTTTAAGGCTTCAAGTGACCATAACCGCCCATGTGTTCGGTCCAGATGGTTCATGGGAAAGGGCGTACTGTACTTATTTTTCGCGCGTTGCGTGCGGATGCGCGGAATAGCAACCGGTTTTTAGCTGCGCAGGGCTGCTTTCGCAATTGCGCGACGCGTCTATCGCACGCGTTGCGGCCTTCCCTCCTTTCCAAAGCTACCGGACGTTTTATTAGGAGCCGGGCCGCTGTGTGACAAGCGGACCGATTTCGTTTACTCGGGCAGATCATCATCCATAGCCATGCCTTGCCCGTCCCTTTAAAGAAAACGAAAACTAAAAAATTTTATAAAGAACGAATTTCAAAATGTTTTTTTTAAAAGAAAATTTTCGGGTCCTCCAACGGTCTTCGGTCAACTACGATATTTTACCGACTAAATAAACCAATTTTCGGCCATTTACGCAATTTACCCCCAAAATATCACCCCCAACCCCTCAACCCGATTACTGTGGAATAGTTCCCAGCCAGGTCCAGCCGTCCTCTCCGGGGGTTCATTTTAACAAATCGATACCGTGGGCCCTAATTGTTGGATGAGTTGAAGGGGAGAGAAAGAAGGGGCTAGGGACTCTGTGTGGGTCTTGTATGTCTGTGTCTGTATGTATGTCTGTCTGTCTGTGTGTCTGGGGTGCCGGGGGAGTGGCCGTGGAGGTGTTTGCCGGTTCGAGTCGAACAAGTTCTTCGTCTTTTCCTTGCATCTCCAACCCTCACCATTCCTCCCCTCATTTCTTCTAACCTCTAACCCCTTCATCCTCGCGCGCATTTCGCACTTCAACGTGGCCTCAAGGGCCCCCTCGTGCTCTTTCCTGCGTTTTGTTGGTTGTTAAGGATGTGAAAATCTTTCACAACCACCTCGACAACATGTCGTGATGGGCGTAAAACGGTTACTGTGATGATCGTATTTATCTGGAAGCCTTTTGATCTTATTTACCGTAACTTTTTATGTTTTTTATCCACTTTACTATACCGTACATCCTTTTGATCCTTTTTACCGTACCTTTTTATAGTTTTTTTTCGTAAATCCTTTTTGATTTGAAAGGCGGCGTGTTGTCAACCGCTTCTCTCTCTCTCTTTCTCTTCTCTCTCTCTCTCTCTCTCTCTCTCTCTCTCTCTCTCTCTCTCTCTCTCGCTCTCTCTCTCTCTCTTGCTCGCTCTCTCTCGTGCAATATCTCGTTCTCTCTATCTCTCACGCTCTCACTACCTCGCTCTCTCTCGCGCTGTCTCTCACTCTCACTCACTCTCCCTCGCTCTCTCTTCGGCTTCCCTCACCATTTTTAAACTTTTGAACATTTTAGATAAATACCCAGCCGCACACGAATACACAGCAAGCAAGTTCAACCACAAGTCCAGCAGCGATGTCGAGGTAAGCGATCATTTCCAGCTTACAACCTCTATTGATTATCCACCTCCTTCCTGCCACTTTCCCCTCCTCCTCCTTCGCCATTCCGAGAAAACAAAATACCGGCTGACCGCGCATAAATCCCCCACCAATTGGCCCTTTGCCGGGCGCGTATGCCCCCAGTAAAATGTGCCCCCAAAAAGTTGACATTTGCCCATTTGGTGAATGGGGGCGCCGGAACGGAATTTGGTACAAAACTCGAGCCGGATTCATTCATCGTTAGTTCGTAGGGGGATACCAGCTTTCCAAATCCTGTCCAAATTTTGCCCAAACTTAGATGTTACTTTGAATTAATGTCACTTTTTATTTTAATCTTAAATTTTACTTTGGTCTGAATTTTGTTTAGATTTTCTTTGACTTTTGAAAACATTTTTAAGCCTGTTTTAGAGATTTTTATACTTAAAAATGGCTGAAACCGAAATATTCAACTATGTCGTTCCCCTGTTTCTGTTCCAAATCCCCTCTTTTGCCATGTCCATATTTTATCGGCCATTTCCTCGATTTCCCTCTTTTTTCAACGGCCTCCTTCCCCGTGTCCCTCCTGATTCGATTATCGGCGACGGCCATCGTCCCGGCCACATTTTAATGGAACGCACATGATTTCGGCCCTTTTCAATTTTTTCTCGGGCAGCCTGTAACACGGAATCTCTCTGCCTTCCCAGAATGTGACAAAAATCGCGAGCGCCCATCGAAACGAGCGTCATTTTTTGGGTAGGGGGGTTGGAACTGAAATCACATGGGTTCATTAATTTTTAGCATTAAAGACAAAATTTTGAAAAGATTCTGCTTAACAAATTTTGATAAAAAATAAATTATTTTTATGGAAGATTAGCAAATTTTTCTATCGTGGGCCTGACTTTTCGAGGGCATTTTTGAAAATTGGCTAAATTTAAAAAATTGGAGGGTTTCGAATGACGATGACGCAACGGTTCAGTGATCACGGCCCATTTGGAATTGTGGGGTCACCGTTGGGGGAGGAGACACACGGGTCGTATTCTATTTGCCGCGCGGATTTGATATTCGCAGAGTTTCGGCGCCTTGCCGCGCGCCGCTTTTTGCTACTTGCGAGAAACCGGGGGGTACATCAGAAACATCAAAAAAAAGCGAGAAAATACAGTAATTTTTCTTTTGGTGGGTGAGGTTCTGTAAATATACTGGAGAAACGGGGTTTCAAAAATGGAAACGGAGGAAGGGGCTGGGAAGATGTCAAAAGGAAATTTGAAGGAAAGGACTAGGGCTTATACGCCCAACTCAAAAACTAAGCCTAAGCCCAAGCCTAAACCTAGTCCTAAGCCAAGCCCAAGCCTCACCCAGCCACTGCTTAGCTTTTAGCTCTTTCAAAACAAGCTTCTCCTACGCAGTCCCCTCCACATCACACTGTCGGACCCCCGTAAAAGCGGTTTGATGGAGGGCTGGCGGTTCATATGAAATTTGAGGCTGGCGGAATTGGCTCGTAAAGCTGGCCACTCCCACTGGCCTTTGTCCTCCACAATCCCCCCGGAACGCCGGTTTTAAAAGAAATTGAAGTTCAAAGGATGAAAAAGGAAATCTAATGTCTGCAAATTCGTAGATAGATACGGAATTTTACAATTAGTAAGCAGATCTCGCGTAAGTTAACGGGTATTAGTATTCAGTATTCAGTTATTTATTTTATGAATATTTAAATTTTGTAA